AGTTTCAGGATACAAAATCAACACTCAAAAGTCAATTGTATTGCTATATACTAACAATGACCAATTTGAAAAGGAAATTAAGAAAACAATTGCATTTACTATAGAATCAAAAAGTATAAAATACTTAGGAATATGCTTAACCAAAGAGGTTAAAGACTTATACACTGAAAACTACAAAATATTGCTAAAAGAAATCAAATAAGTTACAAATAAGTGGAAAGACATCTCACGCTTGTGGACTGAAAGACAATATTGTTACGATGTCCATGCTATCCAGAGCAATCTACAGATTCAATGCAATCCCCATCAAAATCCCAATGACATTTTTTGCAGAAATAGAATATCTATCCTAGAATTCATATGGAATCTCAAGGACCTTGAATAGCCAAAACAATCGAGAAAGAACAAGGTTGGAGGCCTCCTACTTCCTGATTTGAAAACATACTACAAAACATACTTAATAGTAATTAAGATGGTATGGTACTGGCATAATGATAGATACGTAGACCGATGGAAAAGAATAGGAAGTCCAGAAATAAAACTTTGCATATATGGCCAAATGATTTTCAACAAATGTGCCAAGACCACACAATAGGGAAAGGACAGTCTCTTTGACAAATGATGTTGGGAAAACTAGATATCCACATGCAAAAGAGTGAAATTGGACCCTTATTTTACACCATATGCAAAATCAACTCAAAATATATTAAAGACCTAAACATAAGACCCAAAACTATTAAACTCCTAGAAGAAAACGGGGAACCTTCAAGACATTGAATTTGGCAATGATTTATTGGATATGACACCCTAAGTACAGGCAACAAAATAAAAAATAGACAAATGGGATGACATCAAACCTAAAAATTTCTGCGTATCAAAGGAAATAGTCAACAGAGTGAAAGGCAACTTACAGAATGAAAGAAAATAATTGCAAATCATATATCTGATTAGGGGTTAATATCCAGAATATATAAGAAACTTCTACAGCTCAATAACAAAAAAAAAATAACCTGATTAGAAAATGGTCAAAGAAATGTAAATTAGAAAATGACCAAAAATGGTCAAATTGAATAGATATTTCTCTGAGGAAGATATAAAAATGACAAATGGCCTATTCAACATTGTACTAAAGATCCTTAACCAGTTGAATAAGGTAAGAAAAAGAAATTAAAGATACATGGATTGAAAACTTATTTTTTATACATGGCATGATTGGATATTTAGAAAATCCAAAACATTCTAGATTAATTATTTGAATTAATAATCAATTTAGTAAGTCAATAAAAATTAGTTGTTGCTCTATAAATGAGGAAAAGCAATTACAAAATAAAATTCTAAGATATTATTTGCAATTGCACCAAGCAATCTCAATTGCTTAGGAATAGACATAATAAAAGTTGTGCAGGGCCTTTACACAGAAATCTTTGAAGCAGTACTGAGAAAAATTAAAGACCTAACTAAATAGACAGATATACTTTTTCCATAAATGGGAAGACTCAATATTTAAAGATCTCAATTCTCTACTAAATGATCTCTAGATTCATGCAATCCCAATTAAACCTCAGTGGGCTTTTTTTGGGTGGAAACTGATCTGGCAATTCTAAAATTTATGTGGAAATACAAAGAATAAGAAGAGCAAAGACAACAAGGTAAAAACAAAGATGAAGGTCTTATGTTATCAGATATCAAAACTTATTAGAAAACAATAGTCATTAAACCAGTGTGGTATTGGTGCAAGCACAGACAATTAGACTAAAGGGGTAGAATTGGGAATCCAGAAACTGATTCACATATATGTAATCACCTGATTTTACAACGAAGGTGCCACTACAATGAATTGAGGAAAGGATTGTCTTTTCAATTGAATATCCATGTGGAATGAAATGAACTTTGACCCCTATCACACACTGTACTCAAAAGTCAATTCCAGATAGATAATAGACCTAAATGTGAAGGAAAAAAAATCTACAAGTTGACATAGGAGAATATCTTCATGACTTTGGGACAGGCAAAGATTTCTTAAATATGGCACAAAAAAAGCACTAATCAAAAGGGAAAGATTGTTAAATTGGGCTTCATTAAAATTAAGAACTTCTTTTCACTAAAAGACCTATTTAATATAGTGAAAAGGCAAGTTGTGGAGTGGAAGAATGTGCTTGCAATTATATATGTCCAACAAAGGACTCATATTCAGTACATATAAAGAACTCCTACAAATCAATAAGAAAAAGAACGTAAGTTTAAAAATGAATAAAAGACTTGAATAGGGAGTTTACAAAAGAGGATATTCACATGGCCAGTAGCATATTAAAAGGTGCTTAACATAATTTATTATCAAGAAAATTAAGATTACAACTCCATACCACCTACCAGAAATAGCTACACTCCATAGACACTTACCAGAATAGCTAAAATGAAAATGACTGACAGTACCGAGTGCTAGGAAGGATGGGAACAATTGGAATGCTCATTACTGCCAGTAGAAGTGTTAATTGGTATAATGACTTTCAAAAATTCTTTGGCAGTATATATTAAAATACATACTTTATGACTCAGCAGTGCTACTCCTAGTTATATACCCAACAGAACTGAGTACACATGTGTACCAAAAGAAATGTACAAGAATGTTAACAGCAGCCCAGGCTGCTGAAACAAAAAGACCTCCACACTATAGTGGTTTAAATAAGATAGTTTATTTTTCTCTAATTTCCAAAGGTGAGTGGTCCAAGCTAGTGAAGCGGGTCTACTCTGTCTTGTCATTCAGGAACCCAGAGTTATCTTACCTTGTTGCTTCACCAACCTGTAGGGTTTTGTCTTTGTTTGCAAGGGGGTCATTGCCATGTCTGAATCCCAGCCAAGGGAAGGAAGAAAGAACAGAAATCTAGGGTAAGAGGATTATAATTTAAATCAAACATAACCAGAAAGTTGCACCTTTACTCATATCTCACTGGTCCATACTTATTAACAAGGCTATGCTTAGCTCCAAAGCAAGCTGAGAAATGTAATCCCTACCTGGATGGCCACGTGCTCAGCTAAAATTCTGTTGTGGAAGAAAGAATATAAAGTTTTGAAAGAATAATTAGTAGTCTGCCACAATTCTTTTTTAATTAAAATTTTTAACTTTCTATTGCAGATATTTGGAAATGTAGTTAATTTTTGCAATTTGTTCTTACAGCCATCCACTTTGCTAAAGTCTCTTATTATTTCCAGTTATATATATATAAAATGTAATATATATATATATAAAATGTAATATATATATAATTATATATATAAAATTTTGGGTTATCTATGTAGATTATCATAATTGTCTGTGAATAATGTCAGTTTTGTTTCTTCTCCAAATCCAATGTCTTTATTTTTCTTATTTTACTAAACTGGCTAGGACCACCAATACAATGGTGAATATGAAAGAACAGTAGGCATTTTGGACTTGTCTCTGATTTTAAAGAAAATGCCTTTAATGTTTCTCATTAAGAATGATGCTTGCTGTAGGTTTTGGGTAGATATCCTTTATCAAGGTAAAGAAGTTCTCTTTAATTTGCCAAGAGTTTTTTTTTATTTTTATAAATGAGAGTTGAATTTTATCAAATTTTTCTGAATTGATTGAGATGATCATGTGATTTTCTGTTTAATTTTTCAATGTGAAGAATATAACATTTGTAGATTTTGTAATGTTAAGACACTGTTGCATTCCTTGGAAACATCCAATATAGGCATGATTTACTATCTTTTTATGTACTGCCGTATTTAATTTGCCAGTATTTTGTTTGGGATTTTCTGTGATGTTAATGAGTGAGATTGCCACTAATTTTCCTTTTTGTCCTGTCCTTGTCTGGATTCAGTGTCAAGATTATAATGGCTGCATGGAGTGAATTGGGGAGTATTCCAGTCTTTCTGTTCTCTGAAGGACATGCCCGAAAATTGTAATGATCGCTCTCTTGAAAGTCTGATAGAATTCATCTGTAAAATCATTTGGGTCATTTGTTTTCTCTGGAGGAAACTTTTAATATTGTTTCAATCATTTTAATTTTAGGACTCTTAAGGCATTCTAATTCTTCTTCAATCAATTTTGGTAAGTTATATTTTCTAGAATTTTTTGCTTTTCATCTAAGTTTTCAAATTTATTGGTATAAAGTTTAGTCTTTGCTCTATCTGTACTTCTGTCACTCTTCTCCTAATATTATTTATTTGTTCCTTCTGCTTTATTTTCTTGATTAATCTCACCAGAGGCTTTCCTTTTTTATTAGTCTTTTCAATGAAGAACTCTTATCTTTTTAAAAGTCTTTCTTATGGTAAGTTTGTTTTCTACTTCATTGATTTCTCCTCTTTTCTGTATTATCTTTTTCCTTCCATATTCTTTGGGTTTATTCTTTTCCTAATGTGTGTCTTATACCTAGATTGTTAATTTTCAGCTTTCTTTTCTAACATAAGAATTTTAAGGTATAAAACTATGTACAACTTTTGCTGCATCGCACAAGTTTTGTAATATTTTCTTTATGGTAGTAATTACTACCATTCTATACTAGAAGCTTGATTAATGCTGTTTCGGTTAGTGAATGACTTATTTTACATTACAATTTTACTATTTTACTTCACTTAGCATATATGAGAAATGGTTTTATTTGGAGAAAATTACTTGATAAGCGTATAAAGTATGCAACAAGTTAGTTATGGAGATTGTGCCTCTTACTTTGGAATAAATTCCACAGCCATCCCATGTTTTAAGAAGCACATTACAGACACAGATTTAGTTTTATATAATTAAATACAAGCATTACAGTTTTCTTTTAGTTAAATATTTTTTGAGAGGACTTGCTATCACAGTCATTTTAGAAAGTAAGCAGTGGCGTTTCTGCTTCAAAGAATGTGTTCTGTGAAGAACTAGTTGTGTTTAGTGGTCACTTGATGAATGGAGATTTTGTTTGCACTGTGTTTTAGAGAATATCATTCATGTGTGCTTAATTTAATTTTAATATCTGAGCTTTTTTTCTTCACAGGTTCTGGCTTCAGCGATCCTCTCACTGGAGCATCATCTCAATACTTACAGAGACTTTCCAAAATGGCCATATTGGAGTATGATACCATTCGTCAAGAAACAACCAGAAAATCAAAAAAGGGCAAGAAACGAGAGCTACGAGACTGCTGATTAATATCAGACGGTGTGATCTTTCTTCACTGACTTTTAAGGTTTATATTTTTTTCTTTTCTTTTTTTTTGATATGTGATATGATGTGCAATTATTTACATACAAATGGAAATGTAAATAGGAAATAAATATTTTATGTTACATACAGAATAATTTGTATTTTGTTAACATTACAAAGAGACATTTAAGTTATGGTTTACGGGGACATAAGCATAAGAAAAATTTTATTCCATGAATTTTATGCACATTGATTATATTTTTTGATTCAATTGGATAAATGTTTTTTGAGTGCCTGTCTGTACAATGATATTTGCTAGGAGCTGCAGAAGATTCAAGAAACAGTGAGTTCTTATTGTTGGGGTTAGAAGGCACCCAGCTTGAACCTCTCCTTTTCCCTGTCTGAGTTTGAAAACAGTTGTGAGATAAATATTCAAGCAGATGAAAATCTTAGCTTTGTTTGCTGATAAAACCTGGAAGGGAAATCCTGGCTTCAATGTGTGGCGACAGCGGCCTCCTAATACTGAACTTTAGAAGTGGGCGAATGTACAGCCCACGTAGTGCCGACAACCTCAGGCTCGCCTGCGGAACCAGGGCCTTTACTGCCAAGCAGAACAAAGCATCTCCACCGCGTAGACAGGCAGATCCCGGAGGGGAAAAAAGGTGGGGAGAGGCTCACTCCATCTCTGTGGGGAGGAGGAAGAAGGTCTCAGTCAGGAGGAAAACCCTTCCTCAAGAAAGCCTGAGGAGTGGGGGAGAAGTGTTTGTCTATACACCTCCCTGAGAAACAAGGAGAATGAAGGATACCAGTGACTGTGATCCAGTGGAGAGGGATATGGGCCATAAGAGAACCACAGAGTGTTACAGAGGTTCAAGAACAAGGCAGTAACATCCAGAGGGTCAGAGAAAGCTTCATGGAAGATGCAGTGTTTGAAATGGGCCTTAAAGACAGGAAAGATGGAGAGAGAGGGCATTTCTTGAAAGATGGAATAACATAAGCAAAGACACACCATGCATTTGGGAATGACGCACTTGGCTAGAGCTAGTGAGTATAGGGCAAGTGTCATAAATTCACATACCTACAGGTACCAATCCAGGACCGGATTGAGTGACACCAATCAGGTGAAGGTAAACTGGGGCATGTTTCTCCATTTAAAAGGAAACTCACTGCCTACCTTCAGCCCTTTGTGTCACGCATGAATGGTGGCCCAAAGTTGCCAAATATTCTCACTTTTCATGCGAAACCAGACTCTGGATTTTTATGTTGAACTTTCCAAGGTGTAAATGTTAGCCACTAATTCGAAATAAGTAACTAATTTAAAATTTATAAAGCCAATGTGTAAGCCAAAGAAAAGTACCTGTGAAAGCTAGATCTGGCTTTGTGGAGCCATTCATTTATGCAACCTCAGGGTCAAAAGAATAGAGGGCAATAGGGCTCAAAAGATAACTTGAGGGGCCGGCCTGGTGGCGTAGTGGTTGAGTTTGCACACTCTACCAGGGCTCGGTGCGCACCTATGCACCGCTTATCAAGCCATGCTGTGGCAGGCGTCCCACATATAAAGTAGAGGAAGATGGGCACAAATGTTCGCCCAGGGCTAATCTTCCTCAGCAAAAAGAGGAGGGTTGGCAATGGGTGTTAGCTCAGGGCTAATCTTCTTCACACACACACGAAAAAAAGATAACTTACTATCTGGTAGAGAGTAGCAGATGCCAAGCACGAGTTTCCTCTGGTTCACAATGGGAGGTTTTTGAGAATGAAAGTAAATTATTGTTTTTGTGATTTAGGAAGATTCATCCAGGTATAATTTGTAGGCTGGATTGTAGTGGGAGGATACTGGAGGTAGGGAAACCAGTTAGGAGGTTTTCGTAAAAATTGAGGTAAGGATCTCTCAGTAGAAAGATAGAGACAGGCCTGGGGAGGAGAGACCAGAGAATGAGGACATGAAGGCAAAGGACTTAAGATCAAGTGATTAGATACAGGGTGTGAAGAGAGGAAGAATCAAAACCAGCTCATTTCCGATTTTAGACATAAGGTTATCAGGAGTTGATGCTAGTTTTGGGGAATAAGAGGATGAATGCAACTTTGGGTATATTCGCTTTAAGGCGCCACCAGGACGTCTGCACTTGCCAAACAGTTGAAAAGCAGCTACGTAGTTCTGGGAAAATGATACTGCCTAGAGTTAGAACTTTGAGAAACATTTTCATAGCAAAGACTGTGTTTTCTCTGATAATAAAGTAGAGAAGGAAGCCCAAATTTGTAAGGAATGGGAGGAAATAGGAAGAAGATAAAAATAGAAGAAGAAAAAAGAAACCATCACAGATGTAGGAGAATGAACATATTCCATGTCCTTGCATGCTTTATATCAATGTATAAAACACACTCTTAATATGTGTTTGTGTGCATTATCATGATGCATTAGTTCCTAGGGGGATAACTAAATAAACTTAAATAGATATGTTTGTACTTAGATCTGAATTTTGATTAAGAATGATTTAGATATTACCTGTACCTTTTCTATCTTCTGATCACCCACTCTAAGCGTGGTCAATGGTTTAAGAAATGGGAAACAGGAGGAAAAGTACTCTGAAACAAAAATTTCATGAACTCTTTTTTGGATGAGCACTTCTAAACACCTTTGATTGTCAAATGGATTTCATTTATTGAGCTCCTACTGTGTTCTCTAAACATTTAATATTATTTGTAAATCTTAAGAAAACCCCAAAAAGTGGGTCAGTGATATTATTCCTGTTTTGTAAATAAAGGGTCTTTATTTTACACTGGGTCTCTAGCTAGACAATAGGAGAACCAGAATTCTAACCTACTAGGATTCAAAGCCCATATACATAAACTTAACAGAATAATAATTTTTTTAAAACTTAAACTTAGTTAACACGTTATGGTTTAGTTGCTTAAAAATTAAAGGAAGATAGTACTTATACACAGAAAAATATCTCTTACTGTTGAGTTGGGTTCCTAAGTTATGACACTAACACATCTTTGAGCATTTATACTAGCAGAGTTCAAAGACCCCCTGCTCCCATCTGCCCTATGAAAGAGTTCAACTCAAGCCAATTCAAGAAAGGAATGTTTATTTCTTTCTAATAAACGAGATAGGCTGACAATAATTAATCACCTTTTTAGCCTTGGAATGAATTTAATTTTACTTAAGTTTTTCATTAAATCTTAAAAAAAAAAAAAAAAAAAACACAGGCTCTACTTCCTTACATTGCATTTATTCTTTTTGTTTCTCATGAATTTTTTAGAAAAACCAGCATGTATTTAGTACACAGAAGGCTCAGATCACCTTCAAGTAAGATAAACTCTAGATTTAGAGATAAGGATGAGATGTCAACTTCTGATATTGTAGCTACCATGGATGTTAAATTTATGTTTGAGATTGAAGACAATCTTGCCAGAAATGACCTTTTGCATTTGTGATTTGGAAATTCCTCCAGTGTAAACAGTATCAATCATAATCTTGGGAAATTGTACCTTATGATAAATATTTAGGATGGGAAGATGGAGTCCTGATTTTAGGGTGAGAAAACAGTTCGTTACAAAGAATAATTACTTCAGTGAAAGACAAATCATTAGTCAATGATAGTTTCAAAGACATTTCCTAAGAAGACTCACTGCCTTTTCTCTAATTCTGTGGTCATCAAGCAACTTTCTAATATGTAATTTAGACTTCTGAGTTAATATAGACACCGAAAAGCAGGTGCCTTCTGTGGATGACATGTCCCAGATCTAGGAATGGGTAGGTTAATTAATGTATTGTGATTCTGATTCACAGTGTCTGTGAAGTTGGTTGACATGAGTTGGTACACAGATCCTGAACATCTTCGTCAGATTAATAAATTGGCTATCGTTTTTTTTTACTGGAAAAATCACTTTAGTATTTTTGGAGAAATAATATACATTTTTAGAAATTTCAACAATGTAGAAAAGTACAAAAAGAAGGTTTAAAAAGCACCTCAAATCTCACCACTCCTAGATAACATCAGGTGAACATCGTTCTCTGCATGTATACAGATAGATACAGAAATTCTTTTATTATAATGGGATCATTCTATGCATGCTATATTTAAATAAAGTTAGTCAACTTAATTTTACTCAGATTTAAGAAAAACAAACCTAAAACTGAAGCACTGCTAAAATCCAAATGTTATTAATTTTAAAATATTATATTTTATAAATCTATATTCAGATCCATCTTTAGATTTATCTCTAAGTCTAGATCTAGATCTTCTTTCCTAAAAGAGATCTTCTTTCTTAAAAGATTCCTCTGCAAGAAACTTCTGGTTTTGATCTAAAACATTTGTCAACTTAGAAAAACCTACCTGAAGTCTTCTAAAGAAGAGTTAACAAAAAAGTGTCCAGATGCTATCATTGTTGCAGGGGAATATGCATCAGTACTAGACAGAGCCCTCCGGACTGGAATGGCGTTCTCCACTAGGGTTGGCCTCTGTTTCCCTCGGTCACTCACACTTATAAAGGGTTATTCCTCCATCTTCTGAGGAACAATCTCACCACACCAAAAGATAATTAACCCTGATGTATGGGATAAATAACTCATACATTATTCCATTGTATGCTGACATTAATTGTTGCCATGGAGAAATCTGATTCTTCACAATTTTTTTGCATTGTGAATTATTTGCAATTTCTGCCTGGATATCTAAAGATTTTCTTGATATCAGATATATCAGAACCAGCAAGTCTTTATAACAATCAAGTGAAAAAAATGTTAAAAAAAAAGATTCTTCTGCAAGCCTTTTCAAACTTAAGCAGGCATCCAGATTTCCTGGAGAGCTTGTTAAAATACAAATTCCTATAGGTCTGGGGTGGGATGTGAGAATTTGCATTTCTTTTCTTTTTTTTTTTTTTGTGAGGAAGACTGGCCCTGGGCTAACATCCGTACCCATCTTCCTCCACTTTATGTGGGACGCCGCCACAGCATGGCTTGATAAGCGGTGTGTCGGTGCATGCCTGGGATCCGAACCGGCGAACCTGGGCCGCCACAGCAGAGCGCGCGCACTTAACCACTTGCACCACCAAGCTGGCCCAGAGAATTTGCATTTCCAATAAGCCCCCTGGTGATGCTGATGCTGCTGATCCATGGACCACACTTTGTGTAGCCTGCCA